CCCCAATAAGGTAGTTTACATCTACTAACATGGTTCAGTCAAGTTGTCAGTGAAATAATGGATTTGTACTATGCTTTGCTTTGGTCTCCCTAGCTTTCTTCCAGCCTACCCGTACATCAAATAACATGGCTCGTCGAGGCACGTGGTTGTTAGGCATTTGTAACATATGTCATAACCACCTCAATTGATGAAGTTTTAATACTTCATCTACTAATCTGCCATCCTTACCTAGCACTCGTTTCCTAGCTATATTATTCCTTATCTGGTTGTCCCATGATACACGAGCAATGCTTAGAAGACACCGATGATCGATTATTATTAGCCTACCAATGTCCTTCTCTCACTGAACATGCTTCGCATCCATATAGTAGGACGGAGCAAACTGCTGCGCATTAGACTCATCCTTTGTTTGGTAGACCGAAATCTCGCCGCAGGCAAGCAAAAGCCGATCGAGCCTTCTGTATCCAAGCTGAAATTTCGTCATTCACCATGCCATCAGCATTGATGAGTCAAATAAGATAAGGGAAGCGGTCTACACGCTCGTCTACTTCACTCCCCATCACAAGTTCAGGTACCGATGCCACCCAATCTTGAAGCAACATTTTGCATTTCGAGGGTGAGAACCGCATCCCGAACATGCTTTCATTGCTGCTAATAGTGGACAGAAAAACTGCATTTTGTCAGCGTCTTCAAGTATCACTGTGTCATCGGCATATTCTATGTCGACAAGCATGTCTTCTAGTAGAAGTCAGACGTTGACAATGTTATATCTAAAATAATGTCTGTTACGAAGTTAAACACGAAGGTGGAAAGTGGACATCTCTGACGGACACCACTTAAAGTAATCAATTCCGATGTCAGTTCGCCGTAAGCTCTCTCCCGACCTGTATTTTTTCGAGTAGAGAATGCAATAGAACATCACCGAGTTGTTTTTAGAGAGCAGAGTCGATGCCGATTTGCTTTTGCCAATTTACGCCGTTTATGGCGTGTGCGAGATATCCGTTCGCTGACCAAAGGACGGGTGTACTGCGCAGCAGTTCGCTCCGTTCTCTTATATGGATGCGAAACATGGCCGTTAGGAGTAGAAGATGCTCGTAGGTTACTAGTCTTCGTATATCGTGGGACACCCGAGTAAGCAATGCTGTCGTTAGGAAACGAGTACTAGGTAAGGATGGCAGATCAATAGATGAAGGGATGAAATTTCACCACTTGGCGTGGTTGGGACATGTGCTGCGTATGCCCAACCACCGACTGCCTCGACGAGCTTTGTTTTGTGGTGTAGGAAGAAAGCTAGTGGCGGCCAGACCAAAATATGTCACAAATCCATGAGGTAACTGACAAGTGGACTGAGTGATGTTGGTAGATGTAAACTACCTGGTTGCAGTCCACGAGATGAAAGTCACCAATGGTTAGAGACCTTGAACGACATGGCTCAAAATCGTTTGCGATTGCGTAGGTGCACTTAGTTTTTGTTTTCTTTCATATCCTGAATTCCTCATCATCATTTTTTTTCAAGTTTACTTGATTAGATTCTACTCCTTTTAACATATTTTCAAACCCTAATCTTTCCAATTACTGCTCATACTTCTACTACATCTACCAGGGTGAAATTCGAATTAACAATTGCATATTTATGTGCTAACGTGATATGGCAACTTGATTTGATTTACGTACGAAGTTCTATGTTGTTGCCGACTGACTGACTGAAAATATTATATCTGCATAATTTATTCGTTTTAGGCATCATGTATCATCGATCAATGTTAGACCACCATTAAAAGTCTGGAAGCTCTTGACGGCCGTTTGTTCCTGGTAAGAGACTCACAAGATTCGATCGTAGGACCTTCGATCTTGTGCGCGAACCTCGGGATCCAATGGTGTGAATGTCTAACTCTGATTAATTTGGGGATTCCACGCAACCTCACCCATTGTCTTCAGTAGTTACTGCCTACACTCGACAGGCCCGACCGAAGCTGCTACCTTGACGTGGTGGTCGGGCTTGCCTATCGTGATGACCCAACCGAGCTATACTGGCTGGAACATATGTTCCTGCAGGTCCTACCATGCCAGGCTGGTCGATTGGAGAACGATGAGACTAAAAGCAGCTACCCAAGGTCTGAGGGCGAAGTCGTACTGCTGACTGCAGAGGGGTGTGACAGCAGTAAGGTGTTTCCTTCGGACAACCAGCATCTGCAGCGATGCTGCCTTCTCACAAGGAAGGAAGGGTTAGAAAAGGTCGGCCCTAAAAATGTCACACTCCCCCTAACTCACGGATTTCCGTCTCCTTGGGTAAGGGTGCCCACTAAGGGCCTTTAAGAACGGAGCTAATTCTCAAAATACCTTTCATAAAAAGGCCGTGCGTGACCGGCCTCAAGCAGTTGTCCCTTGGGCTCTGCGGTCACGCACCAACACTAATCCATCTTCCTTTTCAGGTCCCTCAAGAAACAACCTTCCACGGTGTGGGCAGCCGGGAAGTGACAACCGCCCTCATACCCGTAACAGCACGCGAGACCAAATTGGTCAAAATCAAATCCTTCCTACACCCCCTAATGTCTCTTTTATCTCTACAACTAACTCTACTCACACTCCCTTTTCTCACTGCACCGCTAATGCAGACGAAGCGAGATCACGAAACGTCGTTCCTGGTCTCTTGAAACCCCGTTCTAGACTACATATTGGAGCTTTTAATGTACGGACATTGTGTCAAATAGGGCAACAGGCATCATTAGCTAGGACTTTAGAAACTCGTGCCATCGATGTATGCTGCGTCTCGGAAACGCGCATACAGGATCCTAGTAAAGTCATTAACCTGATTCCACCTTGTCAAAACGAAGAAGCAGCTCGATTTACTCTTCGGGTATCCGGTAGCCCTGATGCTGCTTCCAGGGGTCTTGCTGGTGTAGGCATAGCGTTGAGTCCTAGGGCAGAATTATCTCTCCTAGACTGGATCCCAGTAGATAGTCGTTTGTGCGCTGTCCGACTAAACGGGACAGTAAGGACTCGGAAAGATAAGGACACTCGCCGTTGCCTCTTCGTCATATCTGCCTATGCCCCCACTGACTGCAGTGCAGACGAGGTTAAAGATGAGTTTTACAGAAAGCTTTCGGACCTCCTCCAAAAAGCTAAGCGCTCTGACATAGTAATAATGGCTGGTGACTTTAATGCTCAAGTAGGTAGACTAGGTGAAAAGGAAAGACATCTTGGTGGATGTTATGGTGTAGCGACTGAGAGAACAGACAATGGTGACCGTCTGTTGCAACTGTGCTCAGATAACCGCCTATTCTTAGCGAACACCAACTTTAGGCATAAGGAAAAGCATCTGTTGACCTGGCGACCCCCAAAGTCGTCTCAACGTTGGACTCAACTAGATCACATCGCCATCAGCCACCGATGGAGGGGTTCGATAGAAGACTGTCGCTCGTTCTGGAGCACATGTTTGGATTCAGATCATGCTCTAGTGCGAGCTCGTATCTGTTTAAGGCTTACTGGACGTAGGAAAGACACCGTAAGAAAGCCTCTTAGGGTTTTACTTAATGATAATCAAACCAAGAAAATATTTCAGGAGCAACTAGAAAGAGAGTTAAGCAACCATGCAAGCGATTCCCATCCAGAAACAGGTTGGTATGATATCAAAAGGGCTATGGAAACAGCAGTGATATCAACTAGGAAGGTAAACCATGAGGCTAGGATGAAGCCGTGGATTTCAGTCGCATCCACCGAACTGATGGATGCTCGAAAACGCATCCCACCTGACTCTGAACATGATGAAGATCGAAGTCAGCTTAGGCGCAGGCTGATAAAAGGCCTGCGCAACGACCGCGAACAGTGGTGGGTGGCGAAAGCAAAAGCGATGGAAAAGGCATCGGCGATAGGCAACACTAGAGAAGGCTCGATTGGCTTTTGCCAACCTGCGTCACTTATGGCGTAGGCGAGATATCCGTTTGCTGACTAAAGGACGAGTGTACTGTGCAGTAGTTCGCTCCGTCTTACTTTATGGCTGTGAAACATGGCCAGTGAGAGTAGAAGATATTCGTAGGTTACTGGTTTTCGATCATAGGTGTCTTCGAAGCATTGCTCGTATATCGTGGGACACCCGAGTGAGCAACGCTGTTATTAGGAATCGGGTGCTAGGTAAGAATGGCAGATCAATCGATGAAGTATTGAAACTTCACCAGTTGAGGTGGTTGGGACATGTGTTGCGTATGCCGAACCACCGACTGCCTCGAAGAGCTTTGTTTTGTAGTGTAGGAGTAGTTTGGAAGAAAGTTAGGGGTGGCCAAACCAAAACATGGCAGAAATCCATGAAGTCATTGACTAGTGGACTGAGCCATGTCGGTAATTGTCGACTACGTGGTTGGGGTCCGCGAGATGATAATAATCGATGGTTAGAGACCTTGAATGACATGGCTCAAAATCGTTCGCAATGGCGCCAGTGCATTTATTCTCTGTGTTCTCTCAAATGCTAATCTTCTGGATTCTTCAACCCCTCTAGTTTTGACTTTCTAAACTTTTCTCACTGAATCATACTTCTTGAGTAGTATCTTCTAATCCTAACTTCTCCGATTATTTCTAATTCCCTTACTACCTCTTCTACTATTGGATTTGAATTGACGATTACTTCTCTGTGCTGATGTGTTATGGCAACATGAACTGATGTACTTATGTACAAAGTTCTACGTTGCATTTGACTGACTGACACTCGACAGGGTTGAACCCTACTAGTCACGTCTTCTCACTAGAGCTCCAACAATTCCCTCACGAAGCTAGTCACTTGTGAGCACATTTTTAATCGAACGGATGTGTGTGGTCTCATGCAAGCGCTATGTCCTGTATCTCCAAATTGATATTCTTTCCAGCAGGCGTCGAACACAGAACAAATCGGTAATGTTCTACTTCCTTTGGATAATTGATACGTTACATATTCACAATGGAACACACACACATGATAATCATCCACCTAATCCTACTCTTTTATTCTTCTTCTTGTTTCATGTTTCTAGTTCTCTGTTACGTCATAATTTAACTACACGTTTAGCTATACCATGTGTAGATGATACAGTGATTCGTAGTTATTTGAATTCACCAATAGTACGTCGATTTATTAATGTCAAATTAAATTTACCAAAAGAATGGGATGTTTGCAGTGATTTAGTGAATACAAATTATGTTCGACTATATCTTGATTTAACTGAACAATATATGAAATTACTTAAATCAAAAGTAAGTTTAATTTATTTATGTTGTTGTTGTGTGTGTATTTGTATTGTTTGTTTAGTGAATGAGATTCAGTTATTTTGAGTGGTAAGTCAATGGCGTATGCAGTACTTACGTCTGTTACTACCCCTCGAGGAACATAGGCTACACCCAGTTCATCCCGCTCCAACTCTGCCCAAAAATCCAAAATGAATCCCCCTGCTGCTTGCTGGCACTGCGGCTCATGGCACTATGTATGGAACTGCCCATTTAGGCAGCATAGATGCAGGAAGTGTAAAGTCATCGGTAACAAAGATGGCTTTTGCTTACATAAAAAGCCAAACCGATCCAGAAGTGCTAAGAAGCCTGTTCCTAGATCCAGTACCAATGCATTGAGCCTAATATCTTCCTGCCAAAGCTCATCACCAGGTGAGAGGAGATTCATTACTCTTAATATAAACGGGCATTTGTGTAGATTGCAAATAGATACTGCATCTGATGTCACTATCCTCTCACGCAAAAATTGGACCAAATTGGGCAGCCCAAGCCTGCAGCACACAACACAAAAGCCTCGTACAGCATGTGGTAATTATCTTCGTATGTTAGGACAATTGGAATGTAAAGTTGCTTTCCGAGACTCGTCATTTACTGGGGTATGTTATATAACGCCATCTTATCTAGGTTTACTTCTCTACAGGTCTCAATGCAGCTCTAGAACAGCATCATTATCCTCTGCCAGTCCCAGCAGATCTGTTCATTGTGCTGAATGGGGAAAAGTTCTTCGCAAAGCTCGACCTAGCTGATGCTTATTTGCAAGTGGAAGTCGACGAAGCGTCTAAAGAGCTGCTTACTATCAATACTCATCGCGGTTTTTTCCAGTACAACCGTCTGCCATTCGGAGTTAGAGCTGCCCCATCTATCTTCTAACAACTAATGGATACTATCCTATCAGACATCTCAGGGGTTGCAACTTATCTCGATGATATCTTAATTGTTGCGAAGACGTTAGAACAGCTACGGGAACGCACGACATTGGTACTACAACGCATCAGTGACAACGGTTTCCGGTCACGCCCAGAGAAATGCCAGTTTTTATTGCAGTCGGTAAAGTATTTGGGATTCATCTTTGATGCCTACCGGATCCTGAGAACATCCGAGCTATCAAACTGATGCCCACTCCCACTAATGTTTCCGAATTACGATCTTTTCTCGGTTTAATCAGTTATTATTTAGCCTTTGTTCCCTCGATGCATGATATTCGCGCTCCATTGAATTGTCTACTGCAGAAGCATAGCACATGTAACTGGACTAAAGATTGTGACGCGGCTTTTGGTAAACTCAAGTCTATAATTAGCTCGGAATTGTTATTAACACACTACGACCCATCCATGCCGATCATCGTAGCAGCAGACGCTTCAGCATATGGCCTAGGTGCTGTTATTTCACATCAGTTTCCAGACGCGTCAGAAAAAGCCGTTATGCATGCATCCCGTACACTAACACCAGCAGAAAAGAAGTATAGCCAGATAGAGAAAGAAGCTCTTGCCCTTGTGTTTGCTGTGCACCGTTTCCACAAGTTTCTGTACGGTCGGCGATTCACGCTCCTCACAGATCACAAGCCTCTGTTAGCAGTATTCGGTTCAAAATCTGGCATTACAGCCCATTCTGCAAATCCTCTTTCGCGATGGGCCTTGGTGCTTTTGGGGTATGATTTCGAAATCCAGTATCGACGCACTCTACAATTCGGTCAAGCAGACGCTTTGTCACGAATCATTAATGATCAAGTGGCGGCTGAGCTAAACTTGGTGATGGCATCTCTGTCTATAGAAGACCACGCAGAATCTTATCTGACAACCTCAGTTCGCGCATTACCGGTGTCTGCTACAGACATACAAAATTCTTCTAGAAACCATCCCATCATCAAGATGACGATGAAATATGTCACTAACAGTTGGCTATCGAAGAGGTTTGAAGGTGACATAAAGCAACTGTATTAGCGACGGGATTCACTTTGCATCGTGAACGGTTGTTCGATGTTTGGTGAAAGAGTACTGGTGCCAGAATCCCTTCGTGCAAAAGTGCTGAGACAGTTCCATCTCGGTCATCCTGGGGTTAAACGAATGAAGACCTGTACCTGTTATATTGCAAACGATTCTGAGCCATGTTGTTCAAGGTCTCCAACTATCGGTGATTATCGTGTCGAGGACCCCGACCAGGTAGCCTTCATCTAACAACATGACTCAGTCCACTTGTCAGTGACTTCATGGATTTCTGCCATGTTTTTGTTTGGCCGCCTCTAGCTTTCTTCCAACCTCTTCCTACACCACAAAATAAAGCTCATCGAGGCAGTCGGTGGTTAGACATACGTAACGCATGTCCCTACCACCTCAACTGATAAAGTTTCACTACTTCATCTATTGATCTGCCATCCTTACCTAGAACTCGTTTCCTGACGACAGAATTGCTTACTCGGTTGTCCCACGGTATACGAGCAATGCTTCTTAAACATCTATGATCGAAGACTACGGAAGTCCTCTACTCTTAACGGCTTTGTCTCGCATTCGTATAGTAGGACGGAGCAAACTGCTGCACCGTACACTCGTCCTTTTATCAGCAAACGGATATCTCGCCTGCGGCATAAGTGACGCAGGTTTTCAAAAGCTAATCGAGCCTTCTGTATCCGAATTGATATTTCCCCAGTCACCAGGCCATCAGCACTGATGAGACTCTCAAGATAAGTGAAGCGGTCTACACGTTTGACTACTTCACTCCTTATCACTAGTTCAGGTGCCGATGAAACCCAATCTTGAATCAACGTTTCGCATTTCGAGGGTGAGAACTGCATCCCGAACTTGCTTGCATTGTTGCTTAGGGTGGTCAGAAGACTGTGCATTTTGTCAGCGTCTTCACCGAATAGAACTATGTCATCGGGATATTCTAGGTCAGTAAGCGATTTCCTAGGTAGAAGGTCAACCCCTGAAAAATCTGACGAGCTTAGCATATCAACGACAAGAATAGAGAGAGTGGACATCCCTGACGGACACCACTTGAAGTAAGGAATCCCGGTGACAGTTCGCCATAAGCTGTCACTCGACCAGTTGTGTTCGAACAGAGAGCTTGTATAAAATTATTGTACTTCTTTGGTACACCTTTCAATTACAGACTGCCACAGAACCTCACGATCCACTGAGTCGAATGCCGTTTTTATGTCCAGGAAAACAACTATTGTGGGAAGCCAAAATGTGTGTCTGTGTTCCAGAACCTGTCGAACATAACAGTTAGATCCTCAGACCTCACTTTGAAAAGGTCCTAATATTGAACTTTCCCGCTTAGTTGACTTTGATACTACACTTACAATTTTGAAAGTCCTTGCCTGTCATTGTTTGATGGATTATTTTAGTACGCTATTTTTGGGGCTCCCCCAAGCACGTTTCTTTCATGTATAAGTAAACTTGATTTGTGTTCTAGTTAACCTCACATTTTCATGGTGCTTATAGAATACACTTTCTATGTCTTGTCAGGACTTCTTCTTCTACTTGGTTGGGGCATTGGGACGCTTGGATTAGTGTAGGTTATTGTGTCACTGATCATTTGTCTTCACTCTCGTTTACTGACTAAGGTGAATTCTTAATAGCATTCAAGTATATCAATTGACGAGCATATCAACTAATAAGTAATATTATTCATATTCATAAAAATGTAGAATTGTTTAAATCATTCGGAAAGTTGAGAACATTGCTTTTTTTTATTTTCTTACCCCTTTATATCATTGTGTAGATTAATGTATTAATATACAATGGTGATATTGATATGGCATGTAATTATTTCGGTGATGAATGGTTTGTGGATAATTTAAACTTGACGGTACGTGTGTGTGTGTTTTTCTTTGATGAATAAATTTTAAAAATGATTCATACAAAAAGACATTATATCAATAGTGAGGCAGTTCGTTATTGAAAACAATGGATGAGTTCACACAACATTATAGTTTGAGTGGAGTTTAAACAATAACACGGTTGGTTGGATGTTGACTGAGTAATGTAGTGTCAACTGTAGAGCCTATCCATGACAAAGTTGATTAGGCATTTAGAGAGTGGACTATGCTGATGGACTACACTTGAGTTAATCGACTCCGATGATGATCAATATTTTTCGAGTATTGAGCCTGTATAATGTTAATCTACTTCTCTGGTATGCACTTCATTGACAGAGACTATCATCGAACCTCACAATCGACAGAGTCAAATGACGCCTTAAGGTCTATTTTCAGACACTTGAATGCATGTCGTTATTCTAAGATCTTACAAAATCTGGTTATTTGGTCTATACACTCTCGTCCAGATGTGATCGCCAGCCCGGTTTTCTTGAGACTTCTCTTTATGATCACTAGTGAAGCTTTGAAGTATTATCAAAGCTAATCTTGTAAACACTCTGCTGGTAAACTGATGTCTCTTTTTTTGTACAGAATGAGACTTTTTGTCCTGTACAAACAAAGTATAATTGGAAATTAAGTATACAAATCTACATATATTGTAATCAGCTAAACAAATAAACTTTTTTTTTCTAGACTACATCTACACGTACACCATGGTTATATATTGAAAAAGATGGTACAAAACAAATTGGCGGTTATTGGAAAGTCTTATCAGCAAATGTATCAAATCTGGTTTATACTACTGTTCGAGGTGCAGGACATATGGTACCAGAAGATAAACCTGCTGCAGCATTTCATATGATCAATCGATTTATTAATGCTAAAAGTTTGTGAATGTATATTTTTGATCACAACAGTAATCACTAATGAGTTTATGTCCAGTTATAAACCCCTCCTTTTATATAATTATGATTTATATTTCATTGCAAAAACATTGATTTAAATTTCTCAGTTTTATATCGGTAAATTAATAATTAGCCGGCAAATTGAAATTATGGCATTCTATTTATTCATCCTTATTTCAATGGCATATTCTTCTTAAAAATGTTAGTTCTCCGTCAATGAGGTTCAGTATTTTGTTAAGGTGAAAGATGGTTGTTGGAGCCGTGATCATATCTGATACGAATGTGTCACCATCCATTTTTTCGCTTAATCAGTCATGAGTAGTATTTGGCTGTTTCCTGAAACTAATTTTGCTAGCCAAGAAACGTGATTAAAGGATACTTTGTACTTCACAGAATTGTATACGACGTGCTCTCAGATGTTTCAAAAGTCTGTTTACTGACTGTCAATGTAGAAGATAATATGATCTTTTTTGAAGACATTCGTTGCTTCAGGCTGTTTAATTTAGTGGTGAATAGATCACCGAAATAAATAGTCCTGTGAGTTTTCAACACCGATACTGATTCTAAAAGTATTATTGGACGCGTTCAGCCGTTATCATGTTCGAATAGACTCTCTGGATCATCGTTGAGTATACTATTCTACAAATCCGACCGTAACAACCAGTAAGCTTATGTTACTCAATCCGATGATGTGTCGTTGACTTGGGCATTGATTAGTGCGTATACGATTCCTGTAGGAACCATCAATTCCCTTGCAAATACTTGGTGTTGAAAAATCGCCAAACATTATGAAACATAAATCATGATTATTGATTTCAATTCCAAAACTAATTTAATTACATCATGGTTCTTGATTGCAACTAGAAGCCAATAATCGTAGGAATGTAGTTTCATATATTCAAATAGGTCCTAAATCGATAAGCCTAATTCTCCAAAACTGTGTGGACAAAAGTAGAGAGTGATGAGCTGCTTCTGGACTGAATAATTTCGATTTCCGATCTCACTATATTTTCTATCTTATACTGAAGGATTCCGATGACTGTTTTTATTGATATCACGAGTTTTTGCATATTATTGGAAAATTCCGTAGGTATTACCTAGACACACCATTAAACTAGAGATATAATTTGTTTTATACGAGTCGATTACAAGATACAAACGGTGTAGTAGATCTGAAATTGCACTAATGAAGATTGAACGTAATGATAACCACCAGAGCTTCATTCATACAATTCCTTAGTCCGATTTACTGAATAAACAAGATTTGGTTGCAAACGTAATCAGTTTTTCTGAAATTATACCTAATCTAGAACTTTGCATCTGATCGGTTAGTTTACGCCCAATTTCACGCATTCATTTCCTTGTTTCCAAAGCATGAGTACAAGGGTTGTAACAGGAATTAGGGACCTTTTACGCAAGGAGTAAAAGCAACTGTTAGACATATTTCCACCTTATCGTTAAGAATGCATTAATCTCAGTCTAGCGTTTGGTACTGATGACAGTACAAATAAAGCGAAACCGGAGAAGTGTTCATGATGACAAAATTTATGTGTTTACTCAATTTAACTACTTAGACCTGTTAGCCCCAATGCAGTATTGACTGACGACCAGTTTTCTCAAGCCAACTCTGTCTTGGGCTTCCCGTTCCAGTTTTTGTTCATTTTTCTCATGTCTTTCTATATTTCTCGGCGTAATGTGTTCCTGGGCCTTCCTCATTCCCTTTGACCTTGAGGGTTCCATGTGGGGGCTTGTCTTGTGACGCAGTTGCGTGCTTTTCGCGGCGTGCGTCGTGTCCACTTCCACTGCTTCTTCCTGAATTCCTCGTTCGCTAAAATGTCGTTCGTTCTCTACCACAGTAGGTTGTTGCTGATGGTGTCTGGCCAACGGATCTGAAGTATTTCGCGTAGACAACTGTTATTGAATACTTGAAGATTCTGAATGATAGCTTTGGTAGTTATCAAACTTTCCTGACAGTTGCACTGAAAATCTTAATTTTGGTGTGCGTTGCTACTTGTTTAGTTCCCAGGTGTTGTTTAGTTGTAGAAATGCTGTCCTTGATTTGCACTTCCATGTCCTTTCTTTCTGCATTGGATCTACCTTGCCTGTCAAAGACACTGCCAAGAGTAGTAATGGTGCTAACGTCCTCTGAAACATCTCCATCAAGACTGATTTGTTCGGAGCTAACGTATTCAGCATTCGGTATCGTGAATAATGATTTTGCTTTGAAGATGTTTGTTACGTATAAGACCAAACATCTTGGCGAATTTGTTTCGCTATAAAAATCGAAGTTGAACTAATAAGTTTAGAACCTAGTTTTCCACCGTGTGGTCTGCAGTTGTAACATACTGACCAAGTTATTGATGTTGCATCAGTCTGTGGAAGTCGAAATTGGATCTTCTGTGAAAAAATCACGTATCAGATGATTTAGCCGGCCCACTTGTCTGATTAGTTAGAGGGGCTTATTGAAACAGTGAGGTGATTCACGTCCGAAGACTTACAATATTTTTGGTAGAACAAGAGTGCAACTATCAAAACACAAGCTATGACACTGAATAAAAACTAAATAAATTGAAATATTTGTAGCAGAAACAGTTCTTGCAAGTTGTTAGATGCCTTGTTTTTAACAGATCCAAAATATCAACAATTAAAAACTACTACACAAAACTTCAAAGACAAGCATTACATTGAATTAAATAGGTTAAGTGCAGTCCAATCATGGAAAAAAAATATAGTTTGTGTTATGAATATAATTCAGCCTAGAGGTTTACGCATAATATCAGTTCTAGTAATCTAGCTTGTTGGTGGTGAGGTATTCGAGTAATATCAAGCCATTTATACAGTGTTTCACTGAACTTAAAGTCGAACAAAAACAGAAATTTATGACTACTAGCAAAAAGTTCAGAGACAGACTGTTAAGCTGGAAGAGATAAGGAACCTGTGCTCTTGGATGAATCTGAAGGTCATAGTCCTGGTTGAAGCACGGCTAGCCCCTTACTGTGAAGACAACGAAGTGAGCTTACGAGACAGGACACTTCTGAAGAGATAGGGTACACAGAACTGGAGACGGAGGGATGGTTTGTACTACCAGCTTTTTCAGAGCCGTAAAATTACACAGCACCAACTGGTCGATGCCGCAGAATCAAGTTGTTGATGCTCTAACATGAGTGGCATGAATACTTGGTCGGAGGGATTCACCGGAGCCCTTTAGCTCCAAATCTTTGAAAAATAAGTTGATTGGGGAGGTTTTACAACCACTAGTCTCGGCGTTTGGCCAGACGCTACTAACTGGAGATGTCAACCCTCTATCTGACAATCTCACCTAACATGGTCACAAATGAAGTATTCAGGCAGGATGAAAACGAGCCCAACCTTAGCTACACTAGTGCAAACCATACACTGCGAGAGATCTTTTACACGCCCCATGACCATTTGAATGATGGAGGCCAACACTTGATTATTACTGGCATACTGTGAGGGATATCATTTAGAATGCTGTCCTACACAATGTACTTCAGGCACATCACATACCTTCAGAGGGAGGAACATGGGTTAAGACAGGCACTGAACGCAAATTTAGAGCCAGGGATTGATTGAAGGTATCTTTGAATGTTTTCGACCGTAGTTCTTACTTGGGATAGAGGAAAAGATACAATACCAATGTTCAAAGTGATAGGAGAGAGTACTAGAACAAGCTGGCAGCCAAAATATAGGGAAGCCAAAAATATCTATTCTCATTCATGACTAAAAGAACTAACCAGCATAATAATGTCCATAAAGGTTCGAATGGCAAAGATCTTGCTAACCTAAAGATGGCTGATATGTTTAACACCAACTTCACCGGTCAGTTAAAGTAGGCACCTACAAGTTCCGAGCACTACTGAAACCCAGAGTCAAAGGTGGCCTGGAGAATATCCGACTTACTACTAGCTTAGTGTGAAGAAAACCAAAATCCACAACTGAATGGAAACAAACTACTCTCTCTCAAGTTTGTGAGGGAGGAGATAGGAGGTGTCCATTCTGGTACAGATCAGTTTCATTAATGTCACTACTGTCGAGGGTAATAGAGACACTAGTGAAAGTGCAAATCATGGAGAACATGTGAAGGAACAACACAGTCCATGAAGCTCACATCCGGTTAGGAAAGGCGAGTCATGAGCATCAAGTCTTCTGACAGCATGGGATAGCTGGACAACCTAATCAGATCGAAAAATACCGGATCAAATAATGTCCCTTCATTTCTCTATGGCTTTTGGCTTATCAGTTTAATTACAATAACTTGAATTTTTTTCTGCCTTTCGTTATCGAGTTGGTTCTCTACGAGATGGAGTGGCAAAGCCCATGCCCAACCCTTCTACTTTATCCAGATTTGGGACCGGCCGTGGCTCCAGATAGGGCACTCCAGGCAGAGTTCCTTACTCAAAAAGGTTGTGATAATGAGCTTCAAAGATCTGTGCTTATTTTGGCTCTGAGACTAACTAGGAAGATTCGTATCAAGGTGAAATTAGTGCATGCGATATAGCGACTCACAGTGGACCATTTCAGATCTACTCCTCCTTCTGGTACCCATTAACGAGTCCTTAGATAAAGTAAGCTGGGGCTCACTAATTTACGCAGCTTACGAATATATGTTGAGGATTATAAGAAGCGAAGAGGATCTAAATGAACTTCGAATGTACCTTATGGCGATAAAGGAATGGGCAGTGGACAGCTTGTTAGAACTTAATGAATCGAAATATCCCGTCATGAACATTTTACCCAACGTGACACAAACAACATACATCCGCGATGAAAGTCTACTCCCTAAAGTCTTCGTAGATCTCTATCTCGGGTTAATAAACACAGAGAGCCTAAACTTCATTTCAAACCACATTGGGGGTGAACCCAAGGCTAACGAAACTCGTCACTTTATGAGAAGACAACTTAGTGCAGTCACATCACAACTGTTCTAAACTCTCTTCACAACATGCGCACGGCCAAAACTTTAAGTTCATTTCGCCGTCACATACGTTCACCTCAAAACAGATGTAAATCTCGTTGATAGATTTTTAAGATGAGCAACTTAATGGGTGATTGGTTCAAAGAACAAACCTTTCGAAGATTGACTCCAGCACTTGGGACTATTCGCTCTGAGTTGCAAGGGGATCATAGGTGATGTAGTAATGCTAAACAACATATTAGGCATGCCTTATCATCCCAAGGCAAATATCTTATCAGAAATCATCACCACTCCTCCTTAGAATACCCTTGAAAAAGTTGCACTTTGAAGAACGAACACCTAAGTACATGCTTACTTTTCCTCATTGGTTGTCTAGCAACTTGGAGTGCTCTGTCAGCCGAAGTGACCATACCCCCTTCAATGGACAGGTTTCCGAATTCCTTCTGGAATCAGCTGTGCCTGATGCATGTCTCAAGTCTTCCTAGTTGTGATTATTGTTCTTTCCCCAGCTCATTCACCTCGCTTATTATTTTTGCTTCCTCTTCTTTGCTCAAACTTCTGTTCTCTCGTACAGTCGTCTTCACTGCTAACTAATTATATTATTTACATGATTCTGGGACTTTCATCACATTATTATTCTCCACATTGCAACCAATTGATTTCTTGCCTGGTGATAGGATAGTTCATGGTATCTAGAAACAATACTGCACTGAGGCGAAAACATTTGTGCAAATCACGGGATATACAAATAACCGTCAAATGGACAGGATTTGTGCGGTCGAGTGCCTAGACTACCATAAAATGGACTTCGCCTAATTCCCGTAACCCTATTGAAGGAATTAGAATCGAGGGTAAACAAGTCATTTGGAGTTAACTAGCTTATGAGAAAGATACTGGATGCAAACAGTGGGTTCTTTGTAGTTTCTGTCTAAAAAGTTTCCTTGATAATGCAAGATATCCAAAGACATTTTATTATTGATCAGAAGGACTGAAACCCTAATAACATGGTATTTTAAGCTTTCATATTAACCTTAAATGACGCATACTAATTTTTGCTATGTTGTTTATTCGAAACGAAGTAGTTTACTGATTTTGTTTAGATCGATCATGAAGGCGTCACTAGCTACTCGCTCAAGAGCGCGATGACTGAGATTTTCCACTACCCTGAAGAGAAGATTTTCAAAACTTCGTTTTGGTCAAGGACATTTTTTTTCTATGCGACTACTGTGATAATTCTTTTTCTTGCACCAGTTGTTATTCTTTTTTACCAGAAAAGTGAGTAGTTCGATGTTTATTCTTATACATTTAATGTAGATATTTGGATAGATTTCAGATATATTCCGATTAGGATGGGTCGCTGTTACCCTGAACTCAGTCAGGCATTCATTTGGATTTATACTATTGATGAAAAAAGTCGAATCAGTTACAAATTATGGTCTAGTTCGAACGTGGTATTGAACTCAGTGGGAACTGACCACTTATCATCTGGCTCAATAAACTACCTCAGCTATGAAGATCCTGTCCCATGGCCATCAAAAAATGTAGGAAAATTAACATATAAGGCCATCGAAATTTCAGCTGATATACATAATGTTACGAATTTCAATATAATCGGAACGCGTCTTTTCATTCCAGTAACTTGTGGTTTGCAAGTACGTTTTCGATGTCATTATTTTTGAAATTTGTCTTTAGCATAAAGAATAGTTTTGTGCTCCTCATTTGCCTAAAAAGTATCTAGAAGTAGCCTAAATCATTGGCCAAAGTTTGTACAATTCAGCATATTATTTAATCATAGAATGAACATAAAACTAGCACACAAGCGTAAAATATTTTTTCTGTGAAAACACAAGTGTTAACAATTAACACTTTTTCTGTTAATGCAGCACAAAAAATGTCTTGAAGAAAAGTTACTGACAATTGTCATGAGGTATATCATGGTTTTTATACTTCGTTTATTTGAAAAATGTTGTTGGAAATCACCTAATTCTCTATTCGCTTCAATTTGGCTGGAATCTAACTGAGGACTAGGTGTCCTAAAAATTTGTATGGCCACTGACCTGCCAGTAAAAATTCATTGAAATAGTCGTTTTATGATTACTCTCATGTGAATCACTCAGTTAGACTTTTGAATATGACCTGAACAAGTCCATGACGAACAACAGCATATGGCACATTTATTTTGACCCTTAAATATTGGAAAATGACGAAACCGGCGTTAGCATTATTCGGTCTCAGTTTCCGTATAGAATGTGTGGTTGGCGGTGAAATCCAAAACAGGCGTTTTGTTTTATTTTCAGGGCTTGTTAGTGGGATGTGCCTGCATCGCAGAATTGACATTCATTACAAGATCCCAACCTAGTACCGTTAGCTTCAAATACCATCATGTTAACCATTTAGCTGTATAATTTAAAGATAGCCGCCACTCACTTGTGCAACGGGTATGCACTATATTTAACTGGTTTATTGTTACTCAATATTATACGAATAAACCCCTTTTTGCTATTCATTTTCAATAAAATAATTTAATTTTATCTTGTAGAAGAGAGAACTTACCATTTCTATCGATCATATCATACATTGCATTGTTTAAATCAGAAATTAATGAATTATAACGTACAGTGTTCATATTCAATACAGGTTTCCATAGATTAGAAAGATTACACAATATGTATGTCATAGAAAGATAAAAAGATGAATTCTTTAGGCTGTACTTGATGAAAATTCTCGTCATAGATAGCGAAGAAATAAAAAAGAACGTTTAAACACCACAAATGACCAAAGAGTTGTTTGGTCTCATAAACTAACTATTCCTGTATATCTAAATCATTGAGGTCTCGATGTGAGAACGCTTCCCCCAGACTAAACAGATTGAAATCCAGTATTCCATACATACTTCTAACTTATAGGCTGAGCTTTCACTTATGTATCTCATGACTATGCCATATCAGAATCGAATGAGAGATAGGTGGTAAAGTCTATTTTGTGTAGTCAACATGTTCACACTCATGTCATGTGTGCCTATCATTATGGCCTAGTCGAGCTATATAGGCTGGGACAGCCGACTTTTGGTTCCTAAAATTTAAAAAGATCGATTTCAGGTCAATAATGATTGAAACCAAAGGGAAGTGTGAGGGAAAAGTCATGAAGAGCTTGTCAGCAGTAAGGCAGTCAACATTTTTAGGCTTGTCACCTTGTCACAATTGATACAGAACGGTTAATAAGAGTGGCTGCTAAAAGTAGCACTCTTTGCTGTATTACACAGATTTCTGACCTCGGTTGTAAAACTTTTTGAATTATACAGCTAACGCACCGAAAGCTTCTCACGAACAGGCCATATGTGAACTGCCCCAAGCAGTTTTATCTTTGGCTCTTCAGTCATTTTCCAAGGTCTTCATGACCATCAATAACTCAGTTTCTACCTCAGGTCCCTTCAAAAGAAATGTCTTTACATAGCGTAAGCAACTGGAAATCAACAACTAGGCAAACATTTCCTAGAGTTATTCAGGTTACCTTGGAACAAAATAAAAGAGGACCTATCACGTCTGATATTCCGTCCATTGTTTCCTTTGCTGTAGAAACATTAAGGATGACAGCTATAAGATCCAAAATTGCGAACCGGCTTTAAATAAGGTGACTGCTTTGCGACCTTGTTTATTCCTACTCTGACCAGTTATACAATACCGGCTGTTTTCTTTAAATAAATACAAGTTTAGTCCCCTAAATACATACTCAGTCACATACCTGGTGACTGCAAGTAGTTTTCGTTATCTAGAGCTATCACTTAGAGAATTTGTTGCGTACTTTGGTCAACCTAATTTATTCTTGAAAATTCAATTGTCCATGTGGATAAAAGGTTGAAAGCATCGACAAATTACAGACTGCTCCTCGTCACTTATCTGTAACTAGAATGCTTGCGTTTCATTCACTTACCATGTAGTTCTCTTCCTCAACTGGATCCATCCCATGTAATTTAATAGATTGTGTTTGCTTGATAGTTAATTCACTTTGAATGAGTAAGTCAGTTATCGGTGTTTGGGAAAGGAATTCACTCCATATTAATCCAGCCACGTTTACTGAGAATTTTTCATCGTTTTGCTAAAAAAAAAGGTTTTTTAAACAAGGAGTAACTGAAACAATCTTTCAAAGAAAGGTCTAATAATATCATGATTGACGTTACGTGTGAAAATCTGTTGGTGTTTTTCTCATCAATCCCATCTCAAAAACTTTCGGAAATGTATCGCTAGAATACATGAATAGTAGCACATTTCCATAGATGTAACTCATCACATATTGGTTTATGTATGTCGGATTTTATTGAATTACCCAGCTACTTCATAATGAAACTGTTAGGTTCAAGATGTGAAACTGTAACCTATTAGCTAAAATTCATATGGTATTCACTTTTTAGAGTAGGTTTTGATATGATTTAACATAGTGGACTTCGATAGCTGAATGTCTTGGACCTTATGAGTTTGATCATATCATATATAAGCAGACTGATAATATCATGGGTTGTTGAGGTAGTACAAATGAATTTACTTTCTTAAATCTTTTATAACTGAGACCGAATGATGCTAACGCCGGTTTCGTCATTTTCCAATATTTAAGGGTCAAAATAAATGTGCCATATGCTGTTGTTCGTCATGGACTTGTTCAGGTCATATTCAAAAGTCTAACTGAGTGATTCACATGAGAGTAATCATAAAACGACTATTTCAATGAATTTTTACTGGCAGGTCAGTGGCCATACAAATTTTTAGGACACCTAGTCCTCAGTTAGATTCCAGCCAAATGGAAGCGAATAGAGAATTAGGTGATTTCCAACAACATTTTTCAAATAAACGAAGTATAAAACCATGATATACCTCATGACAATTGTCAGTAACTTTTCTTCAAGACATTTTTTGTGCTGCATAACAGAAAAAGTGTTAATCGTTAACACTTCTGTTTTCATAGAAAAAATATTTTACGCTTGTGTGCCAGTTTTATGTTCATTCTATGATTAAATAATATGCTGAATTGTACAAACTTTGGCCAATGATCTAGGCTACTTCTAGATACTTTTTAGGCAAATGAGGAGCACAAAACTATTCTTTATGCTAAAGACAAATTTCAAAAGTTAATGACATCGAAAACTTACTTGCAAACCACAGGCTACTGGAATGAAAAAACGCGTTCCAATTATATTGAAATTCGTAACGTTATATATATCAGCTGAAATTTCGATGGCCTTATATGTTAATTTCCCGACATTTTTTGATGGCCATGGGACAAGATCTTCATAGCTGAGGTAGTTTAGTGATCCAGATAGGAAGTGGTCAGTTCCCAATGAGTTCAATACCACGTTTGTACTAGAATATAACTTGTAACTGATTCGACTTTTTTCATCAACAGTATAAATCCAAATGAATGTCTGGCTTAGTTCAGGGGAACAGGGACCCATCCCAATCGGAATATATCTGAAATCTATCCAAATATCTACATTAAATGTATAAGGGTAAATATCGAACTACTCACTTTTCTGGTAAAAAAGAATAATAACTGGTGCAAGAAATAGAATTATCACAGTAGTCGCATAGAAAAAAAATGTCCTTGACCAAAACGAAGTTTTGAAAATCTTTTCTTCAGGATAGTGGAAAATCTCAGTCATCGCGCTCTTGAGCGAGTAGCTAGTGACGCCCTCATGATCGATCAAAACAAAATCAGTAAACTACTTCGTTTCGAATAAAAAACATAGTAAAAATTAGATTGCGTCATTTGAGGTTAACCTGAAAGCTTTAAATACCGTGTTATTAGGGTTTCAGTCCTTCTGGTCAGTTATTAAATGTCTTTGGATACATTGCATTATCAAGGAAACTATTTAGACAGAAACTACAAATAACCCACTGTTTGCATCCAATATCTTTCTCATATGCTAGTTAACACCAAATGACTTGTTTGCCCTCGATTCTAATTCCTTCAGTAGGGTTTCGGGAATTTGACTAAGTCCATTTTATGGTAGTCTAGGCACTCGACCGCAAAATTCCTGTCCATTTGACGGTTATTTGTATATTTGTATATCCCGTGATTTGCGTGAATGTTTTCGCCTCAGTGCAGTATGGTTTCTAGATACCATGAACTATCTTATGACCAGGCAAGAAATCAGTTCGTTGCAATGTGTAGAATAATAACGTGAAGAAAATCCCAGAATTCATGGTAGTAAGTCGGATATTCTACAGGCTCCGGGTTTCATTAGTACTCGGAACTTGTACGTGCCTACTTTAACTGACCGGTGAAGGTGGTGTTAGAATATCAGCCTTCCTTAGGTTAGCAAGATCTTTACCATTCGGAGCTTTATGGACATTATTACGCTGCTTGGTTCTTTTAGTCATGAATGAGAATAGATATTTTTGGCTTGCTTATATTTTGGCTGCTAGCTTGTTCTAGTACTCTCTCCTATCACTTTGAACATTGGTATTGTATCTGTTCCTCTGTGCCAAGTAAGAACTACAGTCGAAAACATTCAAAGATACCTTCAGTCAATCCCTGGCTCTAAATTTGCACGTAGAAAGCGTTCAGTGCCTGGCTTAACCCATGTTCCTTCCTCTGCAGGTATGTGATGTGCCTGAAAAACATTGTGTAGGACAGCATTCTAAATGATACCCCTAACAGTATGCCAGTAATCATCAAGTGTTGGCCT